ACATATAAATATACATATAAATATATATAAATCACCTTATATATTAAAGTATATTCCTTGGAACATCAGCATCTCCAGATCTTAATGAGTGGAAATCAGGAGGAAATTGAGGCTTGCAGGCTTGGAGTCAAAGTAATAAATGCAGGTGCCTCTGAGTTTGTTCTGACCCATGGTGGACTCTGTGGATGTCAGAATAGAACTGTAAGGGTTTTCATTGGCTCATTTTCAGAAAGTAGACTTTCAGGCCTTTCCCCTGGAAAACCTCTCAGAAAGCTCAAGCCTCCAGCCTTTTTATGAGCGAGTTACTATGTAAATCATTGGTGCCACATATACCAAAGAAGCCCAAACCCACTCACTACTCACCAGTTAACTCTGACCCCTGGTAACCATCCCCTGGGTTTCTGAGCCCTTATATCTCCATGCAAGGAGACTGCCCATCTTCTTCCTGTAGAGGCGCTAGTGGATTTGAACCACTGAGCTTTTGGTTAGTGGATTAGTACATAACACACTACACTCCTTGCACCATCCATAGTCTTCTGATCAGGAATTCTTTACCTTCCTTACAAATATAAACAGTGAAAAATATAAGTTTAGCAAAATGAGAGTGAGGTGTTTGGAAAAGATGGAGATGGGGATGATTATATGGTGAGAAGACCATTGTCTTTGTGTTTTCCTTCAGTACTGTGAGTGTGTATTTAAAAAGTAGAAGCAGCTATTTCAGGGTAGGCCTCATAATTTCCATGATCCAGGGTGCTGCCCTTCGAACGTGGACAGTTGTCTTGACTGTGGCACTAAGCTCCAGTCAACAGTATACCCAGTGCAAAGAAGGGCAGGACAGATATCTGCTGCCATTTTGCCTACCCGCTTCTCTTTGTCCATCACTCTGTCATTCCCAGCTCTTTCTTCTGGAAACTTCCTTATTTCTGGAGCAGTAACTGCTCTGAGGAAAGAGCTTCTTTCTCGGAGAATTCTATATAGTCACTCTGCCTAAACTTACTTTGGACCATCCACAGAGGGACCGACTAGCCTTTGATCTGCTGGATCGGTAAGTGCTGTTGAGTTGAGTATGACTCATAATGACCCTACATACATTGAATCTGAACCTTGCCCAATCCTGTACTGTCTTCACCGTCTCTGATATACTTGCGCCCATTGTTACAGTCACTTTGCTGGTCCATCTTGTTGAGGGTCTTCCTCTTTTTGCTGACCCTACACCTTTCCAAGTATGATGTCTTCTTCCAAGGACAGTCCCCTTCTAACAACATGCCCAAAGTATGTGAAACAAGGTTTCTCCATCCTTGCCTCCAAGAAGATATAGTTGCTTGTTCTTTTTCTGGTTCATGGGATATCCAATACTCTTCTCCAACACCACGCCTCAAAGGCATCAATTCTTCTGTCATCCTTATTCATTGCCCAATTTTCTGATACATGGCATGTAACTGAAAAGACCACAGCTTGAATCAGATCCACTTTAGTCCTTAAACTGACCTCATTATTCCTTATCACCACAGAGAGGTCCTTAGTAGCAGATTTTCCAAATACAACACACAGTTAGATTTCTTGACTGCTGGTACCAAGAGTGTTGATTGTGAATCCATGCAAGACAAAATTGTTGACAACTTCAGTCATGGTTCTGTCTATCAGGACGTTGTTTGTTGGTCCTGTTGTATTGAAATGATAAGTTAAGAAGCTTACATATTTTCTTACTGCAAATTTCAGAACCTTGAATATGCTTGTTGTTGTTAGTTGCCATTGAGTCAACTAAGTCATGACTGTTCCGTGAACAACAGATTGAAACTTCACCCTATTCTGTTCCATCCTCACCGTCGCTGCCATGCTCCCATTCCTTGTTGAGAGCCTTCCTTTCTCTTGCTGACCCTCTGCTTTCCCCAGCATGATATCTTTTTCTAAGAACTCATTTGTTCTTTGGGACAACATACCCAAAGTATGTGAGATGATGTTTCCTAATCTTTGCCTCTAAGGAGAATCCTGGTAACATTTTCTTCAAGAGAGACTTTTTGGAAGTCTGTGGTATATAGTCCAACACAATTCAAGAGCATCAGTTCTTCTTTGGTCATCCTTGCTCATTGTCAAACTTGTACATGCCTACAAAGGAATTGGAAAATATCATGGCTTGGATCAGACTCATCTTAGTCTTTAGACTAACATTCTTGCTCTTTAACCCTTTGGAGAGGTTTTGACAACAGATTTTCCAAATTAAACATGTGTTTTGATTTCTTGACTGCTGCTACATGGGATTGACTGCGGATCCAAGGGAAAGAAAATAATTGACAGTTGCAATATTTTCTCCACGTGTCATAATGTTGTCTCTTGATCCAATTGTAAGGATTTTGTTCTCTCGATGTTGAGTCTACATTGAAGGCTGCAGTCTTTAATCTTCTTCAGTTAAGTGCCTCAAGTCTTCTTCATTTTTTGCGTGTAGGGTTGTTGATGATGAATCTTCCTCCAATTCTGATGCCACATTTTTCTTGAGTTTTCAAGGTGAGAATCTTATATGTAACTATTTTCTAAATATGCTTGATGATGGAACACAACATGCTAGCTCTCAGAAGAATGAAGAAATAACTCATACTATTCTAGCTAGCTTTTCAGTAATAAATGAATTATGAGTTGAGCATTGAGTCTTTCTGTTACAAAAAATGGACTTTATGACTTTACTATTTTAATCTAATGTTACAATAAGTCAGTTAACTAGAGCATCTTCAATCTGGACTACTACAATTGACACTTCAAATACCCACAATTTTTTAAACATTAAGAATTCAAGGTAGTGGAGTTTGGGGGGAAAAAGGGTAAGCCTTTTTCTTCAGGGGAATTGATATAGTTCTGTTTGTCTTGTAGATTGAAGCATCTGTGTGCCAAGCAGTGATCAATGTACATGATTATGGAAATTATTATTTTTTAAACACGGCTTTATAAATAGTAACTAATTTTATTGCTAAAATTGTGCTCTAAAGCACAAGAAAGGGTCTTGGATGAAATGGATTGACTCAGTAACTGGGATAATGGGGATAGATGTGTCAGAGGCAGTGAAATTGGCTCAAGATAGGGCAGGGTGCAGAGCTGTTGTACATAGGGTTGCTTTGAGTTGCAGACAACTCAACACATAACAACTATAACTGTTCATCATGCTAATCTTCTCTGTATTGTTCCAATTTTTCAGTATATGTGCTGCCAAAGCGGGCACGACAACTGTACAGGGTCTGAGATAAATTAAATGTAGATACCTTTTGATTTATAGATGCATATTGTATATTTATATATATATCCATGCTTAGAAATTAAAAACAATTAGTAAGAAATCTTTTCTCAGTCAAAATGTCTAGTTATGAATTTGTCCTCTTACCACTTTCTTAACAACATAAAGATAGCACTAGAGACTTTATATTGATTTCTAGAACTTGGTCTTATAAGTAGTTAAGGGGTGCAAACCATTAATGTACTGAGCTAATAGCTTAATGGTTGGAAGTTGAAGTCTGTAAAGAAATGCAATCGACGAAAGGCATCGTAATCCACTTCCAAACAATCAGCCCTTAAAAACTCTGTGCAACTCTGCGGCACGTAGCATCACTGTGAGTTAGAAGCAGACTTGATAGTCCCTGGAACTCGTCTGCAGGGTCACTTCTTGGAGCAAGACTTTGACTGTTTCCTTTTCCCTTTCTAGGTATTTACCAACCCGCTGAAGGTGGCTGAGGGAGGTCAGGGTGTCATCAGCACAGAGCACATTCTTGTTTCTGACGTGGATACCACGCTGGACAATATCTACCTCTCCCTCCAGAGACTGCCTCTCCATGGAAGGGTGGAACTTGATGGAACTCCTCTAGACACGGGGAGCACGTTTTCCTGGGAAGACCTCCACGCCTTAAAAGTTAGGTTAGAACTATCATCAGTTTTGCTTTATGTTCCTCAGCTTCTGATTTGGATTCAAGGTGGCAGATTGGAAGAGAGTTTGTCCAACTCTTGTACCAAGATTCCATTTACTACTTTCATGTGTCAGTTTAAAATAAGAAACTGCACATTTTTCACTGACTTCCAGGCATTTTACTCCCCTCAGCTTTTCCATACTCGAGGGTAGGACTTTGTGGAGATTGGAACAACAACAACAACAACAACAAAATGACCATAAATATTAAAGTTGCTGAAACTGTGCAAGAAGTACCATGCTGAGTGAAATATCACAGGATGTTATGGCCCTAAGTATGGATTGGAATATACAGTGGCTAATCTACATAACTGAATTTGGCTCTGAGGAAAGCCAACCTCATTTACCTTGAAAACTCTAGTTAGAACTCTGCTGACCAGTGTCTTCAGTGTACTTTGATGTAAATGTTGATGCCATTCAGCGTTGTAGGGATTTGAAGGTGGAGGATTAGGGAGCATTCAGTAGGGAGTGGAGTGGGTCTTGGATCTCTGTTAATCAGGAATGACGAGAGATCCCTGCCTCACGATCCTGTAGCCATTCCTCCAGATACTCTGCTGGAGAAGAAGGGACAATCTCCTCCAGTACCAGTTAGATCTGATTTGATGGTACACACACACACACAAATAATAAATTTTTTTTAAGAAAAAGAGAGCTCTTTCTCTAAAAGAAAAGTTTGCTAAAATGTGGAACAATTCCCATTAATTCTAAAAAGTAAAAGGTAGGAAAAACCTACCAGCCTTTGCCACTACATGTACTTGAAACGCTGTGCTTGAACTACTTTTAGCCATCATGTCCGATAGGGTAGATAGTTATAGCTTCATATTAATAGTTAAAGAAACTAAGATTCAAAGAAACAGAGTTTCTCCAAGAATATCAAGCTAGGAAATGGAGGAGAAAGTTTTTTAAAATATTACCTGCTTCATTCCACATCCATGCTTTGGTACCCAAATACTCTTAGACTTCCTAGCCCTTATAGGGTATTGGTATGGTAAAAAAAATTGTGTTATATATTAATAGATTATGAATTAAAATAGTAAGGAGGATATAAAACTAAAGCATAGGAAGTGGTATATAAGAAAGAAATACAAGATATAGACTTTCCTGACCACTGGAATTCAATCTCAGGCTTGAACCCTTATCTAGTTTATGAATGAGAACAAAACTCAAATTGCCTTCCATTAAGTCAATTGTGACTCATAGCAGCTCAGTCTGGTTTCTGAGGCTTAATGGGAGTAGACTGCCTATCTTTCTTCTATGGCGCTGTTGGTGGGTTTGAACCATGAGTTCAAAGTAAATACCCTTCTGATCTGGGATAACCTTTGTCATATGTATTTATTCTGTATGTTCGATAACTATTCTTTTAAAATGAGGTTTTAAAAATTCTCAGACATTGTCTTGACTTTGTAATATCTTGCCTAGACTGTTGTTGTTTTGTTAGTTTTTTAAAAAAAATTTTTCTTCTAAAAAAACCCCATGTATGGAGATCCAAGAGGGTAAGGGGTGGGAGCAGAAGGGTGAAGATGGGAAGGGACGAAATGCACAAATACCTAGACTGTTCACGTGCAAAAAATGTGGAACAATTACCATTAGCTAATATTTAGAACTTACCATTAAGACTGCAGTGGGCTGGGGAAAGATGACTAGAAAGTCTAGAATTAGAAAATTCCAAATTGAGGTGTGGATGAGAATTAAAGGAAGGTGCGGCCAAGAATAGAGAAAAGGAAGGTATTTTTAAGTCGGGGAAAAAGTAAAGTCCTCCAATAAGGTGAATAGAAGAGAGCTAGTAACTAAAGGAAGGAACAAGGTAGGAGAGAGACAAACATTCACAGAACAAAATCTGGGGAAAGAGCGGAGGACACATTGAGCCCAGGTGGAAAGATTGGCCTCGGAATGGGGAACGGAGGCAGGAACACGCAAACTCCACTCAGTGTCTCACTTTCCCTTGTTACTGCTCAGACTTGGGGACCCCTTGGGCCCAGCCTGTGTGTGTTTCATGAAGTCAGAGTTACACCAGGTGATTCCAGTGGTCAGAGTGTCAGCTTAGGGGACAAATTAGAAATGTATAAAATATGATTTTTTTCAGGGTTATAGAATGTTTTCTGAGCTAGTTCGGTACTTAAATGACTTCACGAGTAGAATCATATATTCAGATAGTTAAATACATGACTTTGTGGCTGTGTTGGCTTTTGTTTTGTTTTGAACTCACAAATACACAACCTGTGTAGGCCACATCCAGGGTTGGGCTCTTGTGTTGAGTCCCGGAAGGACCCTCAAGGTGGCCTTCGGATGTTAATACCAAATATCATCTTAGGTATCAGCACGATGGATCTGAGACGCTTCAGGATGACATTTTCTTGGAGGTCACTGATGGCACGAATCCAGCCGACTGTATTCTACCTGTGCAGGTGGGTAGAGACTTTCTTCCCTGGGTCCTGGAGAAATGAAGTGCCTGGTTGGGGAGCCTTTCAGGGTCACGCACGGGTGGAACGTGAAACACGAGGACTCCAGAGCAAGAGGATGCCTGCTGACTTCCTTGCAGGTGTCTGACCAGGTAACGGAGAGTGAAGGCACCCGGGTGAAATGGGCAAACTGCTCTCCCTTGTCACGTCATTCAGAGATAGTCCTTACGTCAAACCCTAATACCCAACCTAAAAGGCACTTCATTCTGTGTATAAAATGCTTGTAATTTTATGGGTGGTAACACTCAAAATATCTCTTTAGCAGTCAATAGTCTTTGCTGGCTTTTCTCTCTGAGTATAAAAAGCATGCGTGCAGACGTGGGTTGCCTATAGCTTTGGCATGAGGTCTGTTTGAAATCATTCTCTTCCTTATTTGATGGATAAAGAAGACTTTCAACCTAACAGCTGAATACATATCCAAAGGCCTCCTGGGAAGCCCAGAGCTGCTGTGTGGAGTGGCCACCTGGGGCCACGAGCATGACTTGTAGGATGTGCAGGTGTCCTCAGTGACAGAGGAAAAGTCCCTTGAAAACTTATATTCATGGAGAAGCCTCCTGGTGTTCTCATTGTGCTCAATTCTGTTTCTTTTTAAATTTTGTTAGGTCTTTGTGGTATGAACTTACTGTCAGTGGTAATAACAGTATGTTTATAGATATTTTACAGTTCACACTTAACAGGGATGCTTACATATGTGATTGTTTTAAGGGGTAACTAGGGATGGCATTATCTTCATTTCGTAACTGAGCCAACAGAAACTCAAGAAGGTTCGTTCAGTGGCTAACACAAAGTCACTTCACTTGCAGTGTAGACCTGTTGCTGGCACCTCCACTCCCTGATATGTAAATCAGTGCTCCTTCTGCACCAATACTGAACCACCCAGTAGTTATAATTAATGCCTGTGCTCACTAATATTCTAAGAACCTGATTCATGCCAGGTCTGTTGAAGAAAGCCTTTTCTTCTCATTTTAACACCTAGCCTTTGAAGTCTAGGTAAAGAACAGTATGCTGTTTCAAGGAAAGTGTTCTTTTTAAGTTCCCTTTAAAATATTTTTTTTATTTTGTTGTTGAGGATATACATAGTAAAAATATACCAATCCAACAGTTTCTTTGCATACAATTCAATGACATGGATTACTTTTTCCAAGTTGTGTGATTCTTCTCAGCCTACTTTTCTGAGTTCTTCCTCTCCCATTAAAATAAACTCACTGCCTAAAAGGTGAGGGTTTTTCCTCGAGTGGCAGCCTTTTACACATAGATAAGCATTTCTTTATTATTTTCTCCCAAAGAAGCAAATTTAAAAGACTGTTATCTTTCATTCAAGTATATCTTATTTTTTTTATCCCCCCCCTCTTTATTTTATACTAGCTTATTTACAAAGTTCAAAAACATTGTTTTTCACACTGGATTTCCCCCATTTCCTTCACCCCTGCCCCAAGTGTGTCTTCTTCTTATTGGTAATAATCAATGAATTTGGTGGGAGAATCTATTTATTTTTATGTTTTAAACAAAAAGACATGGCTTTTAAAGTCCTTCAGAGGACAGACAATGTGGACAAGTATTTGTGATTTTGTCTGCGAGCAAGAAGAATTTTCTGAATATTGTTTTTGAACCTTATTGTCCATTTGAAAGTGGAGGCATTTTTGTGAATTGATGCAAGACAGCCCAACGGAAGTTTACTGGTGAGATTCCTTAGAGCTAAGAACAATACTAAAACATTTTTAAAAAAGGAATAATAACGTTTTTGGAGATTGTACTTATGGAGTCTGCACTAAGATCTTCCCTAGGCTTCTAGTGGAAAATAAGAAATAGAGTATAATGTGCTATTATCACCTTTGGTTAAATAATTAAGCCTGGGACTTCCATCACTTCATTGTTCTACCCATTAAAAGAGACTTACAACATAATTCCACATACATTTGTTGTAGAATTGGGTCTTGTTTGTCTTTTTCCTTTTTCAGTTGCTGTAAGTCAATTCCATGATGACTACGTAGATTTCAGAGAATGTGATCCACGTGGTTTTCAGTGGCTGATGTTGGATGTAGATCATAAGGTCTTTCTCCCAGCTGCCACTCTGCGGACTCACACTACTAATCTTTTGGTTAACAGCTAACCCTATGCACTATCCAGTTGCCGCTATTGTTAGATGCTGTGGAGTCAAGTATGAAGCATAACAACCCTTTGAACAATAGAATCGAATCCTGTCCTATTCTGTGCTGTTCTTATTATCTCTAAGACACTTGATCCTATTTCTGCAGTCTCTGTGTTAATCCATCTCATTCACGGTCTTCTTTTATTCCACTGAGCCTCTGCCTCTCCAAGCATGGTGTCCTTTTCTGAGGAAGGGTCTCTCCTGACTACATGCTCAAAGTATGTAAGATGACACTTCTCCATTTTTGCCTCCAAGGAGCATTCTGGCTGCATCTTCTGCAAGACATAGCTATTTGTTCTTTTGGTTGTCCATGAGATACTCAGTACTATTTCCTGACACTGCACCTCAAAGACATCAATTCTTCTGTCATTCTTACTCATCATCCAGCTCTCTGATGATAGCAAGTGATTGGAAAGACCATGGGGCTGAATCAAGTGCATCTAAGTCTTCAAACCGACACCATTGCTCCTTAGTAATTTGGGAAGGTCACTGACAGTGGACTTTTCTCCAATCTGATCTCCTGATTGCTGGTACCAAGAGTATTAATGGTGGAACTAAGTAGGATGAAATCATTGACAATTTCAGTATTTTCTCCATCTATTATTATGTCTTTGATCAGTCTAATGGTGAGGCCTTTTGTCTTCTTGGCATTGAGATGCAGTCCATAATGAAGACTTTGATCTTTTGCACCAAGTGCTTCAAGTCTTCCTCACTTTTAGCAAGCAAGGTTATGCCTAACACGTGCTGTTGATGAGTCTTCCTTTGATCTTGATGCTACATTCTTCTTCAAAGAGTCCAGATTCTTGAATGATTAGTGCAGCACTACTCAGAATCTGTTTAAAGTAGCAGTATAACCATCACATTTATATGTAGTTGCATTTTTTTATTCACAGTAAATATTTTTTTTATTCACAGTAAATATTAAACAAATATCTTCTATATGCCACATTCTAAGCTAGAGGATTAATAAAACCAACACAATCAATGTTCTAGCTCTTCGAGAGCCTATAGGCCAGTGTACAGACATTCAACATATTCTTGGTAAAGAAATGAATTGAAATTTGGATATGTTCTTCAAATCAACAAGATGCCAAAGAAGCATAAATAACAGTAGATTTCTGAAGTAGCCTAACAAAGATTCCCTGAAGAATCCACATGAAACTGGCACCTGAGAGGAGTCAAGTAGAAGGGAGCAGGTACAGGGAAGAGAGAGGGGCCAGATGGGGCAGTTTGGTGTGCTGGGGTGAAAATGGCGTGGGTAACAAGAACTCCTGGAGCATGAACTATGGCTGACAAGCGCTAAGACCAGCTTGGGGTGCCATTGTTTCCACAGATCAGATCCTTGAAATCCATGCTGTAATAAAGTCACTGTGGCTGAAGTACCTCACATCCTAGCAAGATAATTTCAGCTTCTAGCAACTCCCCCACCCCCCCAAGGGATCACCAAGGCTATAAATTGTAATGGGAAGAGACTCCTTCATCTTTCATTTAAAGAGTGGCTGGTAGATTCGAACTGCTGAGTTTTCAGTTAGCCACCTAACAACCAAGACATCTTGGCTGATGTCTAGAGGAAAGAAACACAGGGCTGGCTTGACAAACTTGCAGCCCGTGCCCGGTCGTGTGTGAGAAATCAGAGGAGAGCAGTTCCTCATTTGTGTTTTTAAATGACATGCTTTTTAAAAGGTCTACATCATCGCAACTTCTGAGGCAGTGAGATCTCATGTTGCTTTGCCTTGTTTTCTACTTAGAGCTTTATTTTCACAACAGCGAGGGGAAAGCAGTTTGTCAAGTCCAAACCTGGCATTGATTACATGCTTATGTGGTTTCAAATTTAACTCAAAATGTTTCAGATGCAGCTGCCACTTATTGTGAGTGCAGAGCAACTTCCTGGGTGGCAGGAAGCTGCGGGTAGAGGGAAGCTTTGTAATCACCAAGTAATTTGAAATAAAAATAACTTTGATGTGGTAAATGTAAATGCATTAGACCACAAGGACCAGATTTCCTCCAGAATGTGTGTGAATTTAATGATAGAGGACAGGGGTTTGGTGAAGAATGCTTTGCATTATGTTTATATTTTGTCTGTCTTGAAACAAATGAGAGTATTCAGTCCCTTGAAACATCACCATACCCTCCCACTCCTACCTAAAATGTTCCTCACGTGGGTCATTTCTTGCAAGATGGTTCATCTGGGGAAAGTTATAAGATGCAGACTGCTTGGCCAAATTCCATTTCTATTGTTTTATGTGTCTGGAAGATCGAAAATGCCTGTCTTGCTGTCTATGAGCTATGGGTTGCCAGTTGGGCAATTAGTCATTTCTTTCTTTTTCTTGAAAACATGTATTTTTCACTCCCTGCCTAGGTCGTCCCTGTAAATGACGAGCCACCAGTCCTGAAGGCTGGCCTCAATCCCACGATGCATTGCTCAGAGGGCGGAGAGGTGGTCATTACCTCTGAGCACATTTTTGCTACTGATGTGGACAGTGACGACTCGAAACTGATGTTTATCATCGCCCAGAAACCTCTGCACGGAGTGGTGAGGAATGCTGGGGTGATAACGGGTCAGTTCTACCAGGAAGATGTCCTCTCTGGGACTGTGACGTACACACACACAGGTAAGTGGCAGAGGCATCGTGACTAATTTGAGTGAAGGCAGACAAACAGCACAGGGATTTTGTGCCCTGCTTCCCACTGTGGGCTCCTATGATCTAATGGTCCTAAAGCTCATTTCCACTTAAAAAGCAGCAACCATAGCCGCCTATACCCCAATTTTCCAGTTTGATCACTCCATTTAGACGTATGTCTGATGGTGGCACTACGGTGGAGGAGGAGGAAGTGAAGACATCACTTTCTGTTCTTTTCTTAAAGTCGTCATGTGGCCTGTGAGTCTCCTCTCCTCCACACTAGTCAATTTGAGGACCTTATTGAACATTATAACTCCTTCTTGTCAATCTGGACTCCATCTAACACAGTAGAATGGCCACATGGGGATTTAGAGGCGGTCCCCTTTATAGGAATAGATTGCCAGGTCTTTCACTCACGGAGCCACTGGATGGCTTCAAACCATCAACCTTTCAGTTAGCAGTCAAGTGCTTAATCATTGTGGCACCAGAGCGTCTCATCATAGCTTACCAAAACCAAAATCCATTGCCATTAAGTTGATTCTGACTCTTGGTGACCTTGTAGGACAAAGCAGAACCGCTCCGTAAGAACTTAAAGATTTTTTTTTAGTTTTATTATTTTGTGTGTGTGTACTATCAAATAGAATCTGACTGGTACAGAAGGAGATTGTTCTTCCTTCTCCAGCAGAACATCTGGTGGATTTGAACTGCACACCTCTGGGACTGCAGTGCAGCTTCTTGCCACTAGGCCACCAGAGCTCCCCTTCTCCATAGGATTTTTGAGACTGTAAGTCTCTACAGGATCAGATTACTTCCGTTTCTTTCCCTGCCACTCCCTGTCTAGTTTGTATTCCTTGTTAAAAGTCTGGTTTCAGTTATGGTTGTGTCTTTCAGGTGGTGAGATCGGCCTGGTGTCCTGTCTTGACACCATTCTGTTGGTGGTTTCGGATGGACAAGCTGGGCCCTTTGTGAATGGCTGTTGCTATGGTGACCCTCCTCTGTATGATCCTTCTCATGGGACCTTCCCAGTGTATGAGCTCAACATCACAGTACATCCCGTGGACAACCAGCCACCTTCAATTGCAATCGGTGAACATGATTTTCCTGTTAAAGTCCAAAGAGATCACTTAGTGTCAGACCTGTGCTTTGGTGAAAATACTTCATATGCAGGCTAAATAGGAAACATTCTCACAGGATTGCCTTCTAATAATTACCTCAGTGCAAATTTGTGGGAATCCCCAATGGATGAATGATTGCAAGGCAATCTAACTCAATGAATTCGGTTCCTTGAAAAATGTAGATATTTCTGTTTGGAGATAAAGGAAAGCATGTGAGCATATAATGTGTTGACAGGTGGATAACTTTGGAGTCCTCAACTGTGCTTTCTTTCCCACAGAATCTACTATTTACTTTCTAGAGAGAGTAATTTATTTTACCCATAATAATATCTATTAGAATAGAATTAGACCAAAGAGAGACCACGTATATACAACCACATGCCATATGATGCTCTTTTGGCAATTCCAAGTCCATCTTCTGTAATACCCTAAGTTTATAATGGAGTTCAGTAATACAGATTGGAGATTGGGAAGTAGCAAATATAACCAGATGTAGCAAATGCAACAGGTTATCCTGCAGTATATTGTCTCATCTCCCTTGTATAGAAAGCAGTTGTGATACCAGAAATATTGGGACATTGTGTATATAACCTATAATACATGCTCCTTGACAGCCATGGTCAGAATGTTGTTGTGTATCATAGTGTTGGAACCAACCCATAGCTGACCCTCTGGCGGGTTTTCAGAGGCAATTGATCGCTCGGGAGGAGATTGCCCATCCTTCTCCCACAGAACAGCTGGTGACCTCGGATTGCATGCCTTCAGAATTGCAGTGCAGCTTCTTGCCACTAGGCCACCAGAGCTCCCTTATAAACACCAGTATTAGTATCTTCTGTTTCTACTGTGCTGTATTTCTTATAATTATTTTAATGAAACTTTGCCTACTTACAAATTAAAAGTTTACTGTATTACAGGATATGCTTTGTCTCCTAAGGAGCGATATCCAAGGATGTGTATCATGCATCTCTTGAGAGTTGTAGCAGTGGTAACTATGTTTCATTTTCTTTCAAAATAGTCCCATGAAGTGCATCTTGGCCTCTAGACAGAGCAAAACCAGGAGCAGTTTTGCAACATCAAAAGGCAAATTCGAACTATTGATTTGAAAGTAAAACAAAAGATTTTAAACAGAAATTGAAAGTGGAAAATCAGCAGTTGCTCATGATTTAGACATGTTTGCACAACATCTAAATCGAATCATGTCCTGCTTCACAGAACTGATTGTGGTGGTTAAATGGCACATGACTGTGTGACTGAATAGTTAACCTTATTTGCTTTTCATAAAGTCATCTCTTCATAGGCTTTATGTATATGTTCTGTCCCTCACGCACTCACACATGCACAAACACACACACACAAGCATATGTATGAATGTTATTGTAATTTGCAAACTATCTCCCAAGCAATGTTCTGGAAAGGAAGCATTATCCCAGCAGAGTAATTAAGCACCAAAGCATGAAAAAAAATTCGTTATGAACACTTCATAATGGCTCTCAGGCAATTATCTCTCTGACAGACAGAGGTAGCAACTGATCTTGAATCGTACATAAACTACATTTAGTGGCTTATCATTAAAACAGTTTGGCAATTCTTGCTTCCATTTGTCACATCTATGGGGACACAAGGGAAATCAGAGTTCCTGGAGAAGGAATGACGGAAGGGCTTTACCAGAGCATTTAGCGTTTCTCCTATCTTTTCATTGTTACATGGCTGCTTGCGCTGGAAGAAAGGAGACAATTCCATAAGTCAAATGCAATTGTACCCATTCTCCCTGAATATCCTCGCTTGGAGAATTATGGCAAAGGATGCGAGCATCTCCCATGGAAGTGTATGTGCGGAGGAGAGGCTGTGACTTGGAATGTCAGCCACCCCCTATTGTCTTTACTGTCCTGATGGGGTGGGGGGAGCCACACTATGCCGTAATTGTGATGTTGTTTCTCCGCAGGCACCGTGTTTGTTGTAGATGAGGGTTTCTCTGCAGCAATAACTGTTGACCACCTGTCCACTACTGACCCTGACACGGAAGAAGGAGATCTGGAGTTTGTTTTGGTTTCTCCACCCAAATTTGGTTACATTGAAAACACACGCCCCACTGTAGGCTTTGAGAAAAGCAATATGGGCATAGGTATAGGTAAGTTTCGGTTAGAGAGCAGATTGGCCACCTCATGTTTGATAACTGAGGACTTAAAAAAAGTGTGAAAGAACCATGAACTCAAGATATTCTTGTTTTAGTGAATGATTTATTTTAGAATCCCATTTTTTTTTAAAGTTTTAATTTTTTTCTGGCATGTGAAATGGAAATTTTACTTATGACAAATGTGAAAAGAAACCCTGAAGAAATGGGTTAAAAGACCCTCAGAGCAACACAGGGCACTGTGATAGTATAAATCAGGTGGGAGCTTGCAAGATACCATTCTTGGGAGAATAAGTAATATCAGCAGATATTGGTTGAATATATTGAAAATACATACCATGGTCATGGTCATAGAAGCAAGAAAAAAAAGCATGATTCAGATACCAAAAAGGTTTATGCATTTCAGAGAAAACAGAAATGAAAAAGTTAACAAAATCTGGGGGGAAAATGAAAAAGAAAACATTTTAGTGGTAAATGATTCTTCAAAGCACCTTTTGAGACATAGCCATCTTAAATATGTTATTTGCCTGACTTAGGGTAAATTGCATTAAAAGTTCCCAATTTCTCCTGGGGCTTAATTCACAATTTGGAGTATTTTCCCCTCTCATATTGTAAGGAGGGACTGGTCCTTGGAGAGAGACATCATGCTTGGGAGGTGGAGGGACAGCACAGGAGGGGTAGACCCTTTATGAGATGGATTGATTCAGTGACTGGGGTAATCGGGATGGGTGTATCGGAGACAGTGAGATTGGCACAGGACAGAGCAGAGTTTACAGCTTTTGTACATAGGGTTGACTCGAGCACATAACAACAACTTAAGACAGTGTCAACACACCAAACCGCACGTCTGCTGGGTCTATCCGTCCAGTCAGTTGCTTGATATGTACATAGAGCTGGCGGATGATGAGTGGCTCTTGTTTTGCTTCTATGAGGAAGAGCTAGACCCTTTCATGTCAGAGCATGACAAGAACTGCTCATGCAGAAGCCATGGCTTTAAGCAAAGGTAATGTCCTCTGACATTCATTACCAATATCAAAGAGTGGCCATGAAGTCCCTATACATCCTGTTAGCAGTGATAGCCTTGGGTTCCGCAGGCACATTTTCATCTGCCCTTGGTCCATGCCTATCTGCCTTGATATTGAGGATTGGAAATGGTTAAAGCAACCCTGATAGCTGATACAGACGGCAGGTGCTGTGATCTTTCTGTGACTGCCACAATAGACACAAGCATGGTGGAGAGCTCCTGATGATGGCGTAGGACAGGGAACAGGTTGATAGGGTGCTTCTGTCAGGACCTGACCCAGAGCACGTAATAATGACAATATGATCTCTCGTTTGCTTTGCTTGGCAATAAGTTATTGAGTAATGGATCAGGGAAGTTAGTAGCGTGGGAAGAGTGGTTTTTTAAATTTACCTGCTCTGTCTTGGTGTGCTCTATCTAGCTTCATTTCGGTGGAAAGACGTGAAGACATTGGCCATTAACTATGTGCAGTCCAAGCATCTGAGGACCGAACCAACTGCCGACCAGTTCGTGGTGTACGTCACAGATGGGACGCGACGGTCCTTGGAGATACCATTTTATGTCATAATCAACCCTACAAACGATGAAGTGCCTGACTTCGTAGTGCACAATATCACTGTAAGAAAGCAACCAGACTTGTTCAGTTTCTCACTCGCCAACGCCTACTTTTCATTTCCACCTAGTCCGTTTAGTTTGGTGAAGGTGCACTTAACACATTAGGGTGGTGCAGAGTGGAGAAGACAGTATTTTATATCAAGTTATTGAACCACTTGAAAATACCATTTTTATAATGATGATGGAAAATATAGTAATTGCTGACATATATGGAGCATCTCTTAAGTTATAGGTCCTATTCCAAGCTCACTTGCTTTCGGTATCTCTCTCTCTCTATAGATATAGATAGATATAGATATAGATATAGATATAGATATAGATATAGATATAGATATAGATATAGATATAGATATAGATAGATATAGATATATAACAATAGACTTTTAAGGTGATTGTATTAGCCTTCCTATTTCTTAACTAAAAATTGGGATACTAGCATACCAAACTGAGTGTTGTAAGATCACAGAACTTATAGTGATAAGTTTGTATTTGCACCCAGGAAGTCTGGCTAGGGATATAACTTATTAACCGATGTTATAAAATAGCAAGGACTCTTCATTTACAAAAGGCAGATATCTTTCTTGCATAACTATCTATGAAGATATAGGAGATGAAAAAAATACAATTTTAAACATTATTTATGCAATTAAGGTTTTTAGAAATAACATCTAACTAAATCATGTGTATGTGTATGTGTGTGTATGGAGGTGGTATATGGTTGTGTAACATTGAATCAGATCTCTACCTACAGCAGGTTTTCAGAGGCATTAAATGTCACCATTTTTCTCCAATGGAACAGCTGGTGGATTGGAACCACGTGTCTTTGCATTGGCAATGCAGCTGCTTACCACCAGAACACTCTCCAGTGTATATAATGGTCCATATTACTGACTTTCCAACTAACACTTGTTGGTTCAAAAAAAAATTACGTTCCTTGGAGAAAAAGATGCCAAAGCTTCATTCACATACTTAGGGCATATTGCCAGGAGAGCCTATTCCTTGGAGAGGGTCCTCAGATTATGCCTGAAAAGGTGGTGGGCCAATAAAAAAAGAGGAAGACCCTCAGTGAGAAGTACCAGCACACTGATTGCAGTAATGGGCTCACGTGTTCGGAGATGCTGAGGCAAACACAGCATGACAGGATAGGGTTCAGATTCATTGTTCATAGGGTCGCTACAAATCACATCTGACTCTTGACAGCACCTAACAACAAACAACAACAATAATGACTCACTGGAAAGTCAGCTATGAATCAGTTCTGACTTGACAGCAACGAGTTTTAGTTCAGATTTCTAAAATAAGGTAGGAGTGGCATCCCCTTCCTAAACAACACAGCAAAAAAAAACAGGTGTAGCAAAAAAATCTGAATGTTGAGAAATGTGTAAAATAGGAAATTTTTTCTTTCTATCAATTTGACCTTTAGTTACTCCCTAACTGAGCTTTTAGTAATTCCTTCCACAAAATAAACTGTGCACATACAAGTGATGTGTACATGTGTGTATATGAGTTTCAGGGTGTTGTTAAACACAGAGGGTCATACTATACATCCTATTCTTTGACTTCACTTTTTAATATCATCTTCTATCTTGAAAATATTTCCATATTAGCATACATTATTCTCTTAAACGTCTGTTCTATGTGCATATTGTTTAACCCGCATATATAGAGAGAGGTGGAGATGTTTTGATTAAATGGAATGAACACCGACTTTGGAATCAGAGACTTGAGTGCTGCCACTTACTAATTATAGAGACCTCAGTAAGTTAGTTCTCCCTAAGCTTTGGTTTCCTCAATTGAAAATTTTTATATCAAGTCTTCTGATGATGAAAATGATAACACCCAGGATGGTCCCTTAACGAGGAGGGACCATTGTTGCTACTATGAAAGATACTACTATGTTTGCTATCTGCTTGCTGAAACTGAGGAAGACCTGAAGCACTGGCGGCAGAAGGTCAAGGACTGCAGCCATCAAAATGGATTGAAATTCAACACTAAGAAAACAAAGATTCTCACCACTGCGCTGATTGGCAGCATCATGATAGATGGTGAAGAGATTGAGATTGTTGACAGCTTCAGTTTTTTTGGCTCTGCAACCAACACTCTCGGTACCAGCAGCCAGGAAATTAAAAGACAAATTGCACTGGGAATGTTGGCTGTCAGAGACCACACTAAAGTACTGAAGAGCAATGATGTCAGTCTGGAGACTAAGGTGTGCCTGATACAGGCCATGGTCTTTGCAATTACTTGTTATCCATCAGAGCGTTGGACAATGACTAGGGATGATAGGAGGAGAGTTGATGCCTTTGAGCTGTGGTGCTGGAGAAGAGTATTGAATGTATTGCTAGGAGAACAAATAAGTTTGTCCGGTGAAGTCATGCTGCTCCTTGGAGGCAAGGATTCTGGGGCTTCGTATGACATACTCTGGACATGTTGCAAAGCAGGATCAGTCCTTGGAGAGGGACATCATGCTTGGGACGGTGGAAGGACAGTGCAGGAGAAGAAGACCCTCGATGAGATGGATGGATTTAGTGACTGGGGTAATGGGGATAGATGTGTCAGAGACAATAAGATTGGCATGGGATAGAGAAGGGTTTAGGGATGTTGTACACTAAGAGTTGCAGGTGACTCAATGGCACATAACAATGTGTTATATTTATTATGAAATTAAGTAAAGCAGATCTTAGCTATTTTTAAATCATTATTTTATCTTCTTTTTTACTAAAAGCCATAGATTTTAAATGCTAAAAAAGAACTCACCATCATTGTTGTTAGGTGTTGCTGAGTTGACTCCAACTGACAGAGACCCTTATGTTTACTCCACTGACAGTGACCGCTGTGTTCAACAGAACGCAACACTACCTCACCCTGTGCCGTCCTCACAGCATGTGCTGTGCTTGGGCTCATTGCTATACCCACTGTGCCTGCTCATCTCACTAGGGTCGTCATCGTTGTCACGGGCCTTTTGCTTCTACCTGCATCACTTGCTGCAGAAAGTCAAGCACTGCAGCCTTCAATACGGATTGAAGCTCAACATCAAGAAGACAAAGATTCTCACCACTGGGCCAATTGGCAGCATCACTATGGATGGTGAAGAGCTTGATATTGTTAACAGTTTCAGTTTGCTTGGCTCCTCAGTCAACACTCTTGGTACTAGCAGCCAGGAAATCAAGAGACAAATTGTGAATGAACGGAAATCCAAAATCTTGTAAATGTTTATTAAAACTAATAAAATAAAATTTAAAACAAAGAAATATAAATAAAGACATTATCAAAAATAAAGAGACTAATTGCTTTGGGAAAGTCAGCTGTCAGGGACCTCTCAAGAGTACTGAAGAGCAACAATGTCAGGGTGGAGACTAAGGTGCATCTGATTTGGGCTATAGTCTTCACAATTAGGTGATATCCATCAGGGACTAGGGATGATAGAAAAAGGATTGATGCCTTTGAGCTGTGGTGCTGGAGAAGAGTGTTGAATATATCATGGACTGCTAGGAGAACAAACAGGTTCGTCCTGGAGAGGGTGAAGCCAGAATGTTCCCTGGAGTCAAGGATTCTGAGGCTTCGTCTGACATAATTTGGGCATGTTGCAAGGAGGGACTGGTCCTTGGAGAGGGACATCGTGTTTAGGAGAGCGGATGGTGTGGGAAAGGAAGACCCTGGATAAGATGGATGGATTCTGTGATTGAGATGGTGGGAGTGAGAGTGTCAGAGATGGAGAGGTTGGCACAGGATAGAGCAGCATTTAGGGCTCTTGTACATAGGGTTGTTATGAGTCACAAACAACTCGACGGCACATAACAACAACAACAATGGATCTTACCAGTATCTATACTTTCTTGGAGTTACCTGAGAATGAGATTTAAGAATCAACTCTGGCGGCTTCTGCTGGCACATGAATTCTTCTGGAGAGCTCTTCAGTGATTCTGGAAGGAAAATAATCTACAAATAGTCCTTTTTTTATACTTGCCTCTGTTGTCTTCTATCTGTCAAGCTTTTAAAATAATTAGACCACTAGGACATCACCCCTTGCTTTTCTCTGAAAATACTCATTTTTGTTCCCTGTGCATCCCTTTAAGAAACTATTGAAGCATAAAATAATATGAAGCCCCATGTGTTATTGGCAGAACTTATTTTAAGCTTCAGTTGTTTTTTTAAATGATCACATTTCTTTTGCCTTCTTGTGAGAAAATGTTATTTATTTTCTAGATAATTGGACTTCTATAAATGGTGCTATAAAAATTTTGAAAGTTTAGCTGGAGGAGTTCTTCTGATCTGTTGAAAACATTTTGTGTGTATTAACCTGAACTTTTGTTTGTTGATGTTGGAATCAATGAACAATTAAATATGTAAAAAAAGAACCCAGCCTTTTGGGGAGAATAAAATTTCAGAGTAGTTTTGTAAATGAATTGGGTATGTTACAAATGAGAAACATTGCTCTACAATAAGCCATGGAGTCCTAAACTATGAGAAGAGAGAATTAGAACATAATTCTAAGTTGCTTAAAGTGCTTGAGGGTAGGAGAGAATGTGACTTACCATTGAGGATGTTTTCATAAGTATATCATAGTGCATTAACCTCTGAGGTCCCATTGGTCCTTAAGATACTGGCCAGATTAAAAAGAAATCATCATATTAGCTCAAGAAGCATATATGGTGAGTGATTCTTCCTTATGCAGGATCAAGAAAAGGTAGTTGGAGGAGAGCTCCTTTCAAAATCAATAGAAACTGAAAAGAGTCTGTGTTTTCATAACTTTATCTGGACTAATAAGCAACGTCATGATGGATGGAGGGGAGATTGAAACTGTCAACAGCTTCATCTTGCTTGGATCCACAATTAACACCCTTGACCAGAAGTCACGAAATAAGGAGACACTTTGCACTGGGAAAATCTGCAGTTAGGGACTGCTCCAAATTATTGAGGACTAAGGTGCATCTGATTCAGGTAGTATTCTTTCGATTACTAGCTATGCACCTGAGACCTGGACAATGAATAAGGATAACAGAAGAATTGACACCTCTGAGCTGTGGTGTTAGAGAAGAGCACTGAGTATCCCCTGGACGGCCAAGAGAACGAACAGATATGTCTTGGAGAGGGTGCAGCTGGAGTGCTCTTTGGAGGCAAAAATGATCAAGCTTCGCCTCACAAACTTTGGGCATGTTGCTAGTAGGCACTATTTTTTGGAGAGGGACATGATGTTGGGAAGGGTGGAAGGTAGGTGAAGGAGAAGAAGACCCTCAACCAGGTGGTTTGACACGGTGACTACTACAGAGGGCTCTTGTGTGTCAGGAAGTGTGAGGATGGTACAGGATAAAACAGGGTTCAGATCTTTTGTTCATAGGGTTGTCATGAGTTGTGCTTGACCACAAGCAACAATAACAACAACAAGCCATACGAACCTTGGAAAAAGTTGAGTAAGAATGCTCCTGAGTGTCAAGGACAGCCAGCTTTCATCTCATGTGATCTGAGTGTGTTATCAAGAAGGGCCAATCTGCAGAGAAGAGCACCGTGCTTGGTAAAGTTGGGAGCCATTATAAAAGAGGAAGACCTTGAATGAGTTGGATTGACACAATGACTCCTACAAAGGCTCAAACATGACAGTGACAGTTAGGGTGACACGGGACTAGGCATTGCTCTGGTCTTCTGTGAACAGGATCGCTGTGAGTCAGAACTGACTCAAAGGAACCCACACAACAAACCACATGAAGGAAGCTTTGTGGAATGGTGGTTAAAATGCTAGGTCACTGACTGGATTGTTGGAGCTTTGAACATAACAGCTGCTCTGTGGAGAGAGATTTGGCAATCTGCTTTGGTGACACTTGAAGCTCTGGAAACCCTTGGGGCCAGTTCTACCCTGCTTTCGAGGGCCGTTATGAATTGGAATCCACTTGATAGCAGCAGGTTTAAATAATACATTTCCTTTAGGAATTAAATATCCCTCAGCCAGGAAGACACTTCCGGTCTCTACCTTTTTGTGCTTCTAATTTATCTGTATCAAGTAGAATGATCCTGGAGCCTTGGGGGCACCTGGCTACTAACTGAAAGATTGACAATTTGAACCCACCGGATACTCTGGTAGACCTACGTGGTAGTGAGCTACTGTAGAGATTTACCACCTTGTACACTGCATGGGCCAATTCTCCTTTGTTCATATGTTCATTGAATCAGAATTGACTTGGTGGTAGGGGCTTTAGTAACTCTGTTGTTGTTGTATAACATCGAGTCAGAACTGACCCATAGCTGACCCTCTGGAAGTTAACCACACAGGAGGAGATTGCCCATCCTTCTCCCATGAAGCAGCTGGTGGCCTCAAACCACATGCCTTTAGGATTGCAGCACAGCGTCTTTCCACCAGGCCACTAAAGCTCCCTTTAGTAGCACTAGTGGAATCTAAATGTAGAGGTTCTGGAGTCCAATTTACAACTCACTTTCTCTATGACTCCCAGAAAACAAACATTCATTTATTTGATTGTGGGCTTCCCCCTCCAGTCTTTAAAGTATAAAGAAAAGGTATTTGAAAAAGAATATATCCTATGCCCATCATGGAAATAGTACTTTGAAAGTAGGAAAAAACCACAACAAGATAAAGGTAAATAATCCAATAGAAAAATGGGCACAGAATATGAACAGGCACTTCACTAAAGAAGACATTCAAATGGCTAAGAAACACATGAAAAAATTGTTCAAAATCCCTAGCTCCAAGAGATATGTAAATTAAAACAACTATGAGAACCACAGACAGAAGAGCAAAATTTAACAGAACAGCAAACAATAAATGCTGGCGAGGTTGTAGAGAAACTGGAACCCTTATTCACTGTTGGTGGGAGTGTAAAATGGTGCAACCACTGTGGAAGGCGGTATGGCGCTTTCTCAAAAAGTTGCTAATAGAGATACCATTTGACCCAGCAATTCTACTACTGGGAATATATCCCAAAGAGACCATAACTGACAGCCAAGCAGATATATGCACACCATGTTTACTGCGGCTTTGTTCACAATAGCAAGAATTTGGAAACAACCCAGGTGCCCATCAACAAACAAATGGATAGAGAAGCTGTAGTATATTCACACAATGGAATACTATGCTGCATTGAAAAACAAGGAACTCATGCAATATTATTCAAAATCGGTGACCCTGGAGGATATTATGCTGAGTGTAGTATCTCAGTCACAAAAGGACAAATACTGCATGGTGCCACTGTAAAAACAGGACTGACCTCGGGGTTGGGGGGAGACTGAGAAAAATGGGTTCAATAATGTATACTGCATTGAAACAGATGCGGGAGAAAACTGTTTAAAAGGGATATGTGATTAGGTATTTTTGTAATAACAGGAGTCTAGAGCAAAGGCTAGGTGGAGTGGACCTGGGGGAAGGTTTGTAAAACAATGGAAGAATTTTTGTTTTACTTTTCCAAGAGGGTAGTGTTCTGGGGGGGAGGGTAGGAGGGGAGAAAAGTGCAACAGTGAATGAATGGAAATCCAAAGTCTGTAAATTTTTACTGAAATTAATAATAAATTTTAAAAAAGAAAAAAAAGTAGGACCGAAAAAGGAGTAATAATTTTTGGTTTTTCTTTTCTTTGAAATTTACTTTAAACCAGTAGTTTCTAGGAGGGGTTATAAACAAAACTCATAACAAGAAGCTCTGGTAGGTTAGTGGTAAGGAGCTGTGTTGCCCATGTGACGGTGTGCAGTTTGAAACCGCCAACTGTTTCTTAAGAGTAAGATGAACAATCTCCTCCCATGTAATTTACTGCCTCTGAAAACCTGCTTGAGAATAAACTATGACTTGAGTTGATTCTGACTCAGGTATGTAACAACAATAAGCATACAATTATTTCTTTTATGGAACATTTACTTCATGCATAACTGACTTTTCTGGCTTCTTGTTCTTTAGGTGCTTGAGGGACACATGAAAGAGTTGGATTCTTCTATCATCAATGCTGTTGACCTGGATATTCCCCAGGACCCCTTGCTGTTCACTGTCTCCCATGGACCTCGCCATGGTCTCCTCATCAATGTGTGTAGGGAAGGCTTCCCTCAGTATAAGAAGCCAGCAAATTCTCACCAATACCAGCAACCTGTTCAAAACTTTTCCATGGAGCTCCTTGAGACTGGTATATCATGTCTTGCTTGTATTTATTCCTTGTTGTACATTTAGCAATTTAATCCAGAACCTGTGATAATACATCATAATACTAGAGGGTGAAGAAATACTTTATTCTACCATTTAAGGGTTTCTTCTCGATTCAAGTCATGAGGTTCCCATTAGAAACAGCAGGTGATGGATAAGTCAGTAATAGGACTTATTTAATTTGTACAATCTCTTTAAAGACATTTATGATTGCTGATACTTTAGATCATGTCTTTAATACTTTTTAAGAAGAAAAAATCTGTCTGCCAAAATTTCCACTTGTTGAAATAAATATAGAACCATATATAATAACTCATTATTCGGAGGAGATAATTTACTCTGTCGTGAAATGACACATTGGGATATAACAGCCTGAATTAATTTTTAATTATTCTTTTTTTAAACTGATCTCACCCCACACTTTCATATATAAGAATACGTTTTAAATTTTTTTTTTAAAAAGTCTACAGTTCTAGAATCATTGTCTATCGTCAGTCTGGTTCTTGCCTTCATGTGTTGTTTCCTTGGAGTGGGGTGTCCTTGCTTTCATGGGCTTGACCAGCTCTGCCCTGGACACCAGTGTGTTGACCTCTTTGTTGGAGCCCAGCCAGATCCTCCAGGCCATTCCTCCTCATGCTGGTATCATCTTAACCCTTGTTCCACTTCGCTGGTACAGTCTTGTAATTCTCTTTCACCAACTAGACTGACTGCTTCTTTGTGCAAAGTTCATTTTACAATAGTTGCACAAAGTCATCTTAAATATGAGTCTCACTATTGTCTTGATTTAAAATTCTTAGATTATGATGGAGATAGAATATATTTTCATGTTTATTGAACATTTTTCTGTTTCAGCTTTTGTGATGTGATTAATTTATAGATTTTGCCCATTTTTTTTTTTTCATTAGAGTTTGATTATACGTGTTGGTAGGTAAGATTTCCCCCAGTGCCTGGCACCAAATGTTTACTTTCTGTTCTTATAGATTTGCTCACTCTGGATGTTTTGTGTAAATGAATGAATAGAAATGGAATAGATGGTTTTTTGTGACAGGTTTCTTTGATTTCATGAAGTGTTTCCCAGGTTCATCCATGTGGTAACATGATTCGTTATCTAAAATCTCATTGCCCTCAAGTAATTTCTGATTCATGATGACCTTTCATTTGGTTTCTGAGGCTGTAAATCTTGACAGGGGCAGACTGCCTCATAGTCTTCCTTCTTCTTTGGGGTGACTGGTGGATCCCAACCACCGACCTTTAGGTTAATAGCCCAACATATAACATGCTATGCTACCAGGATTCCTTGATTCATTACTAAATGAATCATATCCTATTGTATGGATATGCCACATTTTAATTTACCCACTTATCAATTGATAGACAGTTGAGTTGCCTCCAATTTCTGACATTTATGGATAATACTGCTAAAAACCATCCATTCATGCACAAATTTATATGTAGACATATGCTTTCATTAATCTTGGGTATATACCTAGGATTGGATTATGAGTCCTACAGTATCTCTTTGTTTAATATTTTGGGGAACTGACTAGCAGTCTTCCAGAGAAGTTGCTTCATTTCTACCAACAAAATATATTAAGGTTCTAATTTTTCCACTTGGAAGCAGGAGTGACATCCACTTCCTAAACAACATGCCTCGGGAAACTCTTTGAACTTTGATAAACAACAATAGTTATAGAAAGGCTTCAGGTTTTTTGTTCATAGGGTTGCTATGAATTGTGCTCAACTTAATGGCAATCATCAGCAACAACAACAACAACAACAACAATTTATCCATAGGATAGAGCAGGGTTTAGGGCAGTTGTATATAGGGTCTCTATGAGTTGCAGGCAACTTGATGGCACCTAACAACAACAGCAATTTCTCCACCACTTCACCAACTATAAAACTATCTTTTAAAATTGTTCTTCTTTTTGGTAGGTGCTGTTGAGCCAACTCTGACTCATAGCGACCCTTGGTAAACATATCAGAGTCTTACACTATCCTGCACCATCTTCACAACCTCCCCAGGCTCAGGCCGCTGTTTCAATGACTGTGTCAATCAATCTGACTGAGGGTCTTCCTCTCTTTTTCTGACCACCCTCCACTTTACCAAACATGATGTCCTTTTTCAAGGCCTGGCTCCTTCTGACCCCATGTCTAAAGTATGTGCAATGAGGTTTTACCGTCCTTGCCTGTAAGGAGCACCTGGGTTACACTTCCTCTAAGACAGACTTGTTGGTTTTTCACAGTCCTTGGGATATTCAGTACTCTTGTCCAACCACAGTTCAAAGGCATTGCTTCTTCTTCTGTCCTTTTTACTCTGTATCCAACTTTCAGATGTATGAGAGGCAATTGAAAATACCATTGCTTGGGTAGCTATCCTGTTGGAGACGTTATTATCATAATGGTTTTGATTAGCATTCCCTAATGACTAATGAAGAGCTTCTCATGGATTTATTGGTCATGGTGTTTATATTTTAATATTATCCCAGGAAAATTATTTTTTCTTCTCTGGAAAAATGTCTATTCAGATCTGTTCCCACTTTCAAATGAAACAAATTGAGCTTTTTTATTGTTGGCTATAACTAGAATATGTTTGTTTATTTATTCTAGATTATAGAATACAATATATTCTATGTAATTTATATTTTATAGATTTTAGATCTTTATCAGAAATAGAATTTGTAAATATTTTCTCAATGTGTGATGACTATGGGAATGGTTTGGTCATTAGAAAGATTCAGTTTCCCTCTCTCCTTTTGTTCTTTCTTCTAGGCATGAGGCTGCTGTATGTGCACGATGACTCTGAGAACCTTGTTGATGACTTCACGATTCAGTTGTCTGATGGGAAACATAAAATACTTAAAACTGTTTCAGTTGAGGTCACTCCGGTTAATGATCAGAAGCCAGTGCTGAGCAAGTAAGCTACTTGAACAATCCCTTGTCAGAATTCCTCTAAAGTTCTACAAAGTCTAGAATGTCAGGTGCAAAGGCGGTGTGTGCGCAAAAACAGAGAAGTGAGTTTCTGTAACTCCTGTCTGTCACAACTCGCTTCTGCCACCTGGACATCTAGAACCTTTGGTGCAAATGTTGGTATGACCTCTCCTTAACAATCCTCAAATCAGCTGTCATGATGTGATTGGGTGTGTCAAGTTCTGTTTAGTTGTGAGTGAATATATTCACCCTTGGGAAAAGAGGCTGGAGCTGAGATATTTGGGCTTTGATTTCTTAATGCTCGTTGGTGTCATACAAATGTCCTTTCTCTGAATTCCAAGGACGCCTCTTTGGAGTCTTTCTCAGAGGCAGAACTGTGAAATTAGAGTTAGATCATGTGACATGGGCACACCATGAGCTAGAAACCTTGGTGGGAAGAGGCTCCTTTCTCCCTTTGGTGAGACCAGGGACCATGGGCATAGAGGCTGTGAAAACAGCAGGGGTCATAAATGACCTACAAAACCCACAGCTTAAGTTGTGGTGGGAGCCGCAGCTGCCTGCTCAATTCCAGTCACCACTGAATTAATTCTGACTCATGGCAGCTCCATGTGGGTTCATGTAGATCCGTGTCCATAGGGTATCAGTGGCTGCTTTTTGGAAGTACTGGGTCAGCAGGCCTTTCTTATAAGGTGTCCCTGGACAGACTCGAACCTCTAACCCTTTGGTCATCTGCCTAATTCATTAACTTTGCATCATCCAGATACTCATGCTACTCACTACTCCAGCTGGTTTTCCAGGATGCCGAGAGCTAGCATGGCAAATTCCTTGTTGTTCTTATGTACTGTTGAGTCAGAACTGACCCATAGCTGACCCTCCAGCAAATTTCCAGAGGCAGCAAAACTAACTGGACGAGATTGTCCATATTTCTCTCATGGAGCAGCTGGTGGATTCAAACTATGGGCCTTTGGGATTGCAGCACAGCTCCTTACAACTAGGCCACCAGAACTCATTGTTAGGTGCTGTCAAGTTAATATGACTCACAGTGACCCTATGAACAGCAGATCCAGACCCCGCTTTATCCTGTGTCATCTTCACACTTCCCTATATTCTCGAACCTATTGTAGCCATCACTAAGTTCATAGGGTTGGCAGAGGCCCATTATTTAAAAGTGGATGGTAATCTGCTTCCTGGGAAGTGTGTATAACTGAGAAAAGCAAGCAAGTCACCCAGAGCTTGACTTGGAGAGAGAAAGAGTAATTTAGAGGACTAGAGAAAGCCTTGCATATCAGCTGGCCCAGAGTGACATATATTATATAGGGTCTTGCCACACCAGTGTAGAAGTTATGTAATCTCTTTAAGTATGTTTCTGTCTCTAAAATTTGAGTGTAATACCTGGACCATTTCCTTCACAGAGCTATTGTTATGAGAATAAAATTCTTAGTGCAAAATCACACTGTAAAATTAAATATAAACCTTATAAAACTATAATGTTCTAATGCAGGTGATTAGGGAGTGCTAGTGGCCTAGTGGCAAGAAGCTGTGCTGCAGTCCCAAAGGTATGTGGTTCATATCCACCAGCTGCTCTGCGGGAGAAGGATGGGTAATTCAAGTAAAGCACCCTTAGCAACCTTATGTGACAACATAAAGTGCCCTACGGGGTTTTATAGGTGGTCTTCCTTATAGAAGCAGAGCTCTAGGTCTTCCCTAAAACCTCTGCATGATTTCACATCGATGATCACTGGGTTATCGATCAAGTGCTTAATCGTTGCAACACCAAATGAGAAGCATGTGATTGTTCAGTTTTCACTGCTGCTATCCCCAGATCCTTTTGGGCTTTGCTGCAAAAAAAAGTAAAATGATGTCATATTTTACATGAATGACTCATTGTTTCCAATAGCTTGGAGATTGGATTTCACCTGCTAATTACTTGAGGCTGGGAAACAGTAATAATCACATTAAACATACCCCACAGAACCAGTAACTTCTATTTTCATACCAACTCAGTCATGTTCCTCTCTGCAGGAAGGCAGAAATGACAATGAATGTGGGTGAAACTCGTATCATTTCTAGAGCTGTTCTTTCGGCCACAGATGAAGACTCTCCCAGGGAGAAGATATACTATTTTTTTGAAAGGCTTCCCCAAAATGGGCAACTTCAGTTTAAGGTTAGTGGCCTTCTTACTTTTATATTTCAAAACAAGCGTTTGATGTTAGGTGCTGTTGAGTCAACACTACCTCATAGTGACCATCATTGTCATGGTCATCCTGTGATGTCTTCATGCACAGTCTCCACTGTGCACAAGTCACCATGTTTCAGTCATCAAGTCAATCAATGGTGGAGGGTCTTCCTCTCCTTCTTGGCCTCTCCACATTTCCAAACATGATCTACCCTTTCAAAGATGGGCTCCTTTCCATAACTTGTACGAAGTATTGGAGACAAATTGTGACAATCCTTGCCTCTAAGGAAAACCCTGGCCGAACTTCCTCCAAGACAGATTTGTTAGTTCTTTTGGCCACCATGGTGTGTATTCAGTACTCTTCACTAACACTTCAATTCAAATGCATCAGTGAAAACAAAATTAACAGGCATACATTTTTTCGGTTTAAACATTACCATAACTGAAGTTAGTCTCTAATTTCCACGTTTTCCCCAAATGTAGAAATTTTACCTTTCCTAGGTGAACACTGTGACACTGATGTTGTCAGATGGGATAATGGTTACCCATGGTGGACAGTGTTTGGTGGAGCTCCCCGATTAAAGCAAGCTTGGAAGCAGGAGCGGCATCCACTTCTGAAATAGCTTGCCTCTGGAAATTCTGTGAACCTGGAGAAAGGATGAAAGTTACACAAGTGTCCAGGTCTTTTGTTCATAGGGTCACTATGAGTCGCCTATGACTTGACAGCACTTGACAATAAAAACAACAATTCAGTGTATACCATTCTAAATTTTTTCAGCCAATTCAGGGTAAATTCAACCAAAATCATTGCTTCCCATCCCACATCCCAGTTGTTAAACCTCAGTTCCAAGGAATGAAAAGCTTAGAGTGATCTCTGATGCCATAATCCACAGGAAGTTGTGCTGTTAACCAAAAGGCCACACTTCTGGGGGAAGGAAAGTTTAGAGAAGAAAGCCAAATGTCTTGTTTTGAATGAGAATACAGCATCATTTGAGATTATTTCCATTTTTCAATGGTCTACCAGTTCTTTCTCTTAGCTGCATTCCAGACCGTTCTGAGGACCAGGGTGCTCTTTGCTTCCCTTTGCTTCACACAGTCCCCTCCGCCCTTAATTACCCAAAATCCTTTTCTGCTGGATGGACATTGTAGGCAGCAGCATTGGGGTATCTTCGCTGTGTTCTTTAGGATGCAGAAATTATCCGAGTATTATCACCTCTGCCTTCTCAGCCAGCAATCCAAGAAATAAACAGCATTTTTTGTTTGTTTCCCTTTCAATTCTCAACTTCCACTCAGTGCAGGAATAATCTTGATCTGTTTTCCAAGGGGACAACTCATTCAGCAAAGAGTCTACCAAACTCTTGTGTATTATGCCTGGGATGAACCTAAAATATATATTCCTCAGTCTTCAGTCCCTTAATGCACTGGAGACGTCAAAGGACACAGTCTTTAATCAAAACAGTAGAGTTGAGAAGCTCAGTATCAAGAAAACAAAGATTCTCACCACTGGGCCAATTGGCAGCATCAGTATGGATGGTGAAGAGATTGAGATAGTTAACAGTTTTTGTTTACTTTGTTCCATAGTCAACACTCTTGGTAACAGCAACCAGGAAATCAGGAGATGAATTGCATTGGGAAAGTCAACTGTGAGGGACCTCTCAAGAGTACTGAAGTGCAACAAAGTCAGGCTGGAGACTAATGTGTGCCTGATCCAGGCTATAGTCTTTGCAATTATGTGCTATGCATCAGAGAGTTGGACAGTGAATAGGGATGATATAAAGAGAATTGATGCCTTTGAATTGTGGTGCTGGAGAAGAGTATTGAATATACCATGGACTGCTAGGAGAACAAACAGGTTTGTCCTGGAGAGGGTGAAGCCAGAATGTTCCCTGGAGCCAAGGATTCTGAAGCTTTGTCTGACATACTTTGGGCATGTTGCAAGGAGGGTTTGGTCCTTGGCGAGGGACATCATGTTTGGGAGAGTGGAGGGACGGCACAGGAGAGGAAGACCCTCGATGAGATGGATCGATTCTGTGAGTGGAGTGGTGGGAATGAATGTGTTTGAGACAGCAAGGTTGGCACAGGATAGAACGGCATTTAGAGCTCTTGTACATAGGGTTGCTATGAGTCGCAAACGACTCTATGGCACATAACAACAACAACAACAAAAAGAGTTAAGAAAACTTGATGATGTTATTCCATCCCAGTGTCAGATTTTAACAGTTGCCATATTTTCATCCTGTTTTCTTGCACCTAAGCCTGCTATGAGTTGGACCTGACTTGATTACACTTAATAATAACAGCAGCCTATTTTGATCTAGCAAATTGCATGATGTTAAAAACACTCCTGGATTTGTGTGTGTTCTGGAAACTATTTGCATTAGTTGACAGTTAATAAGCGTGGAAACACTATATGACACTAGAGGTAGAGACACTTGGACCCTATTGCTAACTCTTCCAACAGCTTGCCTTGCGTTCTAATCACACCTCCTTTGTTCCTATTCATTCTGGAACAGCACAGTTTTGGACCGATTCAGACTATGTGCTTGTTGCCCAGGTAATCGGTCACAAGGCTTATTAGAATGGTGGAGAATAAAAATAGCAGCAGCAACCATCAATCATTCCCACTGTGATTACTCGATTGGGCACTTAATTTTTAATTTAATGTAGACACAGTCCTAGGCAAGTGGCAGTGATTTCTCTGTGTAAAATAGTTTTTATGCTGGAGGCACCAGAGGGAGTCAGAGTGAAGAGCCATCACTGATTTGAATGGAGGCACAGATGTGTCCTTATTTCAAGTCAGAGTAATAAGAAATGCGGCAAAAGCTCATACACTTGGGCAGTTTGGGAGCTGAAGGGTTTTGGATCTGCAGAAGTCCAGACAGTCCCAGGTCCCCAGCATGGACCAGCAGCAATTTCCCAGATCTCTAGAGTCTCCCAGGTCGCTCCCAGATCAAGGTCTAGGCACTTAGTCCGTGTGGGGCCTTCTCAAGGGTCCCTGTTTCTGGCTGACTTTCCTTTGCTTGCCTCACCTTGAGTCCGGCTCTTATTTTCTGCCTCCTCTCGGGTCTTCAAATGAATCCTCAGAATTCCCATTCGACGCTGTAAATTATCAAATTACAGTCTGTCCAGTTTAAAACCTAAGAGAGAATCTGTTTTAAAATTCATATTTACAAGTAGATCTTATCATGGGAATAAACAGCTTAAATAAGCAATGTAATTAACTTGCACTCAGTGACATTTATTTGATTATATAATCAATATAATTGGATTATTTAAAACTATCAGAAAGTATTAAAGAGGAGGAAATGTTATCAAATAAATTATTTACAAATTCAAACCAAATTATGAAGACGGCTCTAAGAGGGATCACAGTAGGGAATCCTGGACTGAGTAGGAGAAAGATGTGAAGCAAATGTTAAAAAATCACAAAAAATGAATGGACTTGCTGGCTGGCTGGTGGAACCCCAAAGGTTCAGTAACCCTTTGAGCCTGAGCTAAACTTAGGCCTGTGGATCAACTTTCACCCAAACAAGTGACATGCTTATAAGATAAAGAATAATACCAGAGAGGAGCTTAGTTCTTAGAAAAAGAAATCATATGAGATCATAAAGGCCATCTTTGCCCAGGAAGAGTGCTCAGAAGACAGGAAAGGATCAGATAGAAGGATAAGGGGAAACAGGCATCATAGGGAGGTGTTGAGAAGTTGCTGTTACAATTTGTGGACTACAATGAATTTTATACAACAAGATCTATGTGACTGATTGAAACCTAATTGCTCTATAAAATTTCAAAGTGTAATAAACAAGAATTCATAATATTGATATATTAAAATGATAATGGTTTGGAGATAGTCTAAAAATTGAGATAACTTTTTTAAAAGCAGACCAGTTTCCCTTGAGCTGATTCAAACTAATGGCAGCCCGGTGTGTCACAGAACTGAGTGCTTCACAGGTCAAGGCTGTGAACTTCCAGAAGCAAACAGTCAAGCTGTTCCTGAAGGTGCCTTCAGATGACTTTGAACCACCAGCCTTTGGGTTTAGTTGTTGAATGGCACACACACACGCACGGAGAGGGGAAGGGGTAGCACAACTTCTTTTTCACAAGAAATAACAATCTGTGGAATAATGCCTCAGGGCAAATGGAATCGAAATCCAACTCACTCTGTTCCTAAGTCAGACAGGGAGAGCTCAAGAGAATAGCCCATAATAAATGATAAGATGACATTTTCCTTGAGTGTGTCAAATGACTTATTATGAGCTACTTTCAGGGAAACTTAAGAAAGTAACAGTAGGATTATTAAGCAGATTTATTATCATATTTCATAATACAGTTTTGAGCACACCATACCCACATTCCTGGCCTTCAAAACAAGAACTTCTCTTAAGTGGAAAAGCCTTAATTTCTATACTAAGTGGAATGGGATATTTGCTTACCAAATGTTGGCTTGTTTCTAGAAGTTTCTGTTAAAAATTGTCATATTTGCAGCTTATATTTTTGCTGATTTAATATTTAAATATATAGAGATATAGTCAGAATGATGAGCATTTTGGGGTCCTATGGTAAGGCTGAAAGTAGTTATACCCATTCTATTTTGGTTTAACTCCTTTAGATAAGCTAGGTAATGCTCTAGTTTGGAAAAAAAAATAGTTTGATTAGTTATGTAATGAGATGAACTGAAAAAGCAGAAACCCCAAAAGATACACATTTAATTTTTAAAGAACCTATTCCAGCAGCTAGATTACCCAGCTGCTCTCATTAATTGGAATATTTAATCAGCTATGATTGCTTATGATAAATACCATGGGAAATTGCAATGCCATTAAATTGCCACCTGACTTTGTCAAAAGTCCTTTTGGTTGAAGTTAGTTTTCCCCAAAGGTTTTAAATTGCTTTAACATATTTCTCTTTCTACCCCGCTCTTTTGGAGGACACAAAAAATAAGGTAATATGTCTAAAAGTAGATTCTGGTATTTCCCTAAAATATTATTTAAATGGAAGGGTTTGGTGGGGGTGGGGGGTGACATGGAAAATGTGTACGGAAACAAGTGAGAACAGCTGACTGATTCTGGCACTTTTCAGATAGGGAGGTCCTGGGCCCTGCTCTCTCATGGCATGAGATGCACTCAGGAGGAGGTGGATCTCAATTTGCTAAGATACACACACACTGGACCGGTGAATTCCCAGGACCAGGACAGCTTCACTTTCTATCTGTGGGATGGTGACAACAGGTCACCCATCTTTGACTGTCACATTACCATCAAAGGCACGGGAAAAGGTAAAGGTGTGTTCTCCCAAGGTCACTGGTGCCAAGTTGTATAACTGGAGGTGAATGTGTGTAAGCACTCCACAAATGTTCTCTCCTTTCTTTACTTCCTCCCTCCCTGCTTCCCTCTCTCCTTCTCTAAAGCCCTATCACTCATAATCCAATCACCGTCCCCAACCCCAACTCCCAGTGCTCAGGCTTGTTTTGCCTGCAACCTTGGAAGTTCACAAGAGGAGAGTGGCAATTCATGTGGTTTTGCTATACTTCAACATGCTTGTTGAAAATTGAGCCTGGCCCCCAATAGGGCTTCCCAGGCTACTTAACTGTCCAGTGTTTAAGCATCAATCTGATAAATATAGCTTTATATCGAGGAAGAAAACGGTTACTTGAAAATAGAATTTCATGGAGAAAATGCTTCCCAAGTAATTTACACATAGTAGCCTAGTGGCAAGAAGCTGTACTGCAATCCCGAAAGCACACTGTTCGAGGCCACCAGCTGCGCCGCTGGAGAAGGATGGACTGTCTCCTCCTGTGCGATTAACCTCCTCTGAAAATCCACCAGAGGGTCAGCTGTGCGTCAGTGCTGACTCTAAAGTACACAATAACAATGATATTCAAAATAATAAAAAGACATTTTATAATTTGAAAAGCTTTTCCCCATCTTGAAAAGCTTTATCCACCTTGAAAGTGCTAGTAGTACATACTCTTGAGATGAGAGTGAACTCTCTAAGACAAGGACCTTTTCTTGAATTATTTGAGAAGACCCATTTGCATAATAACATACAAACGGTAGGAGGAAGGGAGCTTAAAAAACGTTCTAGAAATAAAACTAGCAAGGGTCTGAGAATGTAAGTACTTCATGCCCATTCTCACTACCTCCAAAATTTGCTCTTAAGAGACCATGTGAAAATGCTATATGGTGCCACTGTTGTAGAATGAGGCTGGCATCGGGGTGGGGGTAAGACTGAGAAAAACTGGATGAAATATGTTTATGGCATTGAAGTCTATGGGGGAGAGAATAGTTTAAAAGTATTAT